CCATTATCTTGAATTAGTGTTGTGGCTGAGTCTTTAGCCCAATCCTTTCTTAAAAGTTCTTTTGCTGCTTCTGACCTATGCATAGCAGCACAGTGGCCTTTAAAAAAGCTTGAAAAAACAGGGCCCTCTGTGAAGTCTTGTTTATTACATTAAGCAACACACGTTAACTTTAATCATTAGGTCTCACACTACCCACGGTGTGGATAGACAGGACTCTCATGTCTTTCATCCCGCAATGTGTTTGCTATGATTAATGCCAAATAACAAGGGTAGGTGCATGAAGGAGTTAAACCCGGTTGTTCTAATCCAATGTTTTGCCATTTTTATGCTAATTTTTACTATGAATGTAAGTAGGTTCTATTTACCATTTTTGTTGTTGATGAAGGGTCTTACTGTGTTGTGTAGTCCAGGCTGGCCTAAAAAAAACCCTATGTAGAGCCGGTTAGGCTTTAGTGATCCTCTTGCCTCAGCCTCTGGAGTGCTGGGATTATAGGCAGATATCACCCTACTGTTCTCATCTCTTTTTTTTTTTTTTTTGTACTGGGGATCGAACTCGGGTCCTTGTGATTGCGAGGCAGATGCAGGATCTAAATATTATTAAAATTATGATTGGTAAACATTTTTATTAACATCTTACCTGGTTAACTTACGGATAGTTTCCTGTTTTTAATTTTTTCTCTTTCCTTATACAACAGAACAATTTTTAAAATTGCATGTGACTAATTATAAATATTAAGCATGTCTTCTAAGATGAGGAAACAAGTACATGTGCTCTGTAATCATCGAGAAATCCCCAAAATAGTATAGCTATAATTACCTTTCATGGTTCAATTTTCTAAAAATGTGCCCCTCAAACTGAAAAGGTTAATATCAATTTTGCATCCACTGAATGTTTCATTAATTGTGTCAGCATAGGAGCACAAATAGGATTTCTACGACAAATATTAATATATTAGAAACAAGGTTTTGTAAAGGGAAATGAGGCTTGAAGGGAGAGGAGGGAAATTGGGAAAAAATCAAGCTGTATTACAATTTCCCTATAATGAATGTGATCGTCAAAAGTGTACTAACAAATTTAAAAATTAGATGTATGTTATAATTTACATATTTTACAGTACTGGGGATAGAACCCAAGGCCTGCAGAGCTACATAGTTCTGTTTTAATATTTTATTTAAAGATTAAATCACTAAATTACGCAGGAGGGGTCAAATTTGCAGTCCGTCAGCTTCCCAAAACGCTGAGATTACTGACCTGTACCACAAAGCCCGACCAAAAGGAATATTCATATACAACATAGTTTCTTTTCCTTCATCAAGCAAGTGCAAAGATTATTCAATACATCAATGAAAAGTTATCACAAGTAGATAAAGACGGTGTAAGATGTTGGGAAAACAATGTATAGTCATTAAAAGAAAAAAACCTCCCACTCTTCTACAAAAGGAGTTTTAGCACTGAAGCTGCATAAAGCAGAATGTGGCGCGCCTCACGGACAAGTGGGAAATGATCCAGTGCGTATGCTCTTTCGTATTCGGTGGATTTTACAATTTGGAGTGCTGCGATTTCTAGTCAGGGGCGTCCCCATCCAGAAACCAGGAGGTAGTTCCTGCGGGCTCTATTTCAAAACCGGCTTCAGGGGGATGGAGCAATCTCTGCATTCAATTAGAGCCTCCCCTGGGCTCCTCTGACCTCAATCAAGCCCGAGTCTTGGTCAGGTGGGAGTAATGTTCTCCAAGACAGTACAATGGCTTGTTTTCTTAAATCAGGCAATTGAAACATCTATTTTCTGCACTTTCATTTAGTACTAATATACTTTTGTAGGTGCCCAAAAACGACTGCAAATATCCACATACGTTTAAAATATTTAGATCTCATCAGTTATCACATTTTAAATTTTAGTTCCTATTTTTCAAAAACGCGGACTCCCTCTCTCAAGGGTACGTGAGGCTATCTCCACTTTTAATTCCTTAATCTCTAGTCCACTCTGCACGGGTTTTACTGGGCTGCATCACTTGAGATGTCTTACACAGCAGTGTAAATTAAAGGAAATACACATTGCGCAACTAACGAATTCCGCGTCCCAACTGCTATGAGAACTGCAGCGAGCTTTTCAACAAAAGCAGAGACCCACACGCCCAGAAACGGAGGGAGAGGGGTTCGGTTGGGGTGAGTGGTCCCGCGACGTGAAAAACAGCCCACCCTGCAGCACCAATGAAGAGGTATCCCAAGTTCATACTAGTTGGGGAGGGCGGAGAGCACAGGAAACCCTGCGAGGACAAAGGGCGGTCTGAGCCGCGCTGCGTCACGGCTCCTCTCGGAAAGGGTGGCGGCCCTGAAAAGGGCCTTTGTGTGCGAGGCGAGCGTGCGGGCGCTCAGCCGCCGAAGCCGTAGAGCGTGCGTCCCTGGCGCTTGAGCGCGTAGACCACGTCCATGGCCGTGACCGTCTTGCGCTTGGCGTGCTCCGTGTAGGTGACGGCGTCGCGGATCACGTTCTCCAGGAAGACCTTCAGCACCCCGCGAGTCTCCTCGTAGATGAGGCCGGAGATGCGCTTCACGCCGCCGCGCCGGGCCAGGCGGCGGATAGCGGGCTTGGTGATGCCCTGGATGTTATCGCGCAGCACCTTCCGGTGGCGCTTGGCGCCGCCTTTGCCCAGACCCTTACCACCCTTGCCACGTCCAGACATCGCTGCTAGGGAGATGATACAGTGCGGGAACAGCTCCCTTTTATGGTCTGCATGCGGACCTGCGTGAGGACTGCGGCGGGAGGCGGGACGTTTCTCCCCGCCCATCCGGGGAGGGGCCCGGCAAAGCCAAACGCGCCTGAGTGGAGCTGTTTGATTGCCATGTTGCAGGGCTTTAAACGATCGCCCTCGCACGCGAAGAGAGGTACTCTCGGCTCGGGAAGTAGTGTAAGACCAAGAGCCTTACCAACCGCTCTGAGGAGCTCAACAGCCGCGAGAAGCAATCGGGAAGGAGCACACCGGACAAGTTGGAAATGAAACAGACCTGTATTAGTCTGTACAGACGGCACTGCCAGAGCCAAGTAACTCAGGCGCTAGCTCAGGGCCTGAAGTCTTCTTATAAGGGGATACAGGGGAAGTTAACAGTCAAAACTTGCACACAGGTGGCAAAGGTTAATGTCTGCTGACTCGCACAGGAGGCCAGCTGTCACATATTCAGCAGCCACATGTTGATGGTTAACAGATCCCTCAAGATGTTCTAAAATCTTTAAAGCATTTCGGGTTTAAGCAGTTTTCCCTGTTGAAGATAAAAGGCAGGGTGACACAGCAGTCTCTGTGCCATTAGCTGGCCAACATGGAGGTACTTTAGCTCAGTCAGGTCTCACAGTACAGAAAAGAGAACCTGAGATCACAGTGGGGCCCGGCGACCCCTGCACACACACTGTAGTGTTGTAATTGTGCGAGGTGATCTCAGGGTCTGCTTATCTATGCATCAAATTTCCAGAATACCATTTTCACCATTCCTTAGCATTTCCCTAATGGAGTAGCTTTTTAAAACAATTCATGTTTTCAACTGGACACACATACTTCGTGAGGCTTCGTACCAATACTAGTGTAATTTCTCCTTTTGACATAGTAGATTTTTACTTACTTGTTTATGGTTCTTGTTTTAATAAGATGACATTAGCATAAGTGTAAACCATTTGATGACCAACTAATACCTATTTTTAGTAGTGTTGTCTTGCATTAAATCAGTATTTATTGGAAACAGTTATAGGGCTTTAAGATTTGTTTTGGTCCAAGTCCATTTATAGCATTAGTCTTAAGCTATTTAGTCTGTGCAAGCTTTTGCGTATAAATATCAATATATAAAAATTCTCAAAAATGTATCATTGCCAGATGTGGCACCCCATTGCTGTAATCCAGCACCCAGGCTGAGAGGCAGGAGGATTTCCTCAAATTTGAGGCCAGTCTAGGTTACATAGTAAATTTAAGACCAGCTCAAACTAGGTGGCTATAACCTTTCTCAAAAAAAAAAAAGTATTCTTAATTTTTGCTTGTTATTCTTTATGAATTATCTATAACAGTTTTAACCTATTATTCATTAATCAGAAACATTTGTAAATACCTCTCAATTTTCTCTGCTGATGAAATATAATTTTTAACCCTAAGAAGTATAACTAAAGTTCTACTATATATGTTACAATTTTCCTTGTGAAAGGCAATCTATGCTTGTAGCTAAAATTTTGGAACATCTGCTGTAAGGAAAATTTTATATGTCTCCTTATTATTCCATCATAAGGATTTTTCGTGATACATTTTAACAAATCTCTAGTATTATCATAAAGTATTTTCTAAATGTTTTTCTTATTTTTAGTGCTAGGGATCAAGCTCAGGACCTTGTTCTTGCAAAGCAGGCGGCAGAACCACTGAGCTAAATCTCCAGCCCTAAATGTTCTGTTATACAGAAAGACTACATAATGTTTTCTGAGTATAGCCTAGAATTGAAATGCTTTATTACAGAGCATGTAGACTTTAAGTTATCTGATTAATGGCACCACAGTTTCCTGAAAAGGGTTTGTTACATCACCTGTGCCAGCAGTAAATGGCGAATGTTTCCCTTCTGTGAATAGCAGGACTGGGACAGGGTGGGGATACTGGGGATTGAGCTAAAGTTCCTGAGGGCCAGGGCTCCACCTCTGAGCTACACTTTGAGCTCTAGTATGTTTTTTGTTGGTTGATTTCTTTGGTTTTTTTGGTACTGGGGATCAAACTCAGGACCATTAGCTTTTGAGGCAGGCAGTGGCACCACTGAGCTAAGCCTCTGGCCCCACTAGTATGGTTTTTTGGCCCCGGTTGAGACAGGGTCACTCGATGTAATTCATTCAGGATGGCTTTGAATTCACTATATAGCCCTGGCTGACCTCACACTCCTGTTAATTCTCCTGCCTCAGCCTCCCAAGTGTTGGGATTACGAGCATTGCATCATCACACTTGGCCCTCTTGTATAGTTTTTAACATGTTATATTTAGGATGCATTTTTAGCATGGAGACTTGAGTCTGGTCAGTAAGAAATAAAATATAGAAATGATGAAACATTATGCTAAATACTGGGAAGCACTGTTACCCTTTTCTGTTTTCCCTGAAAACTGTTTTAAACATTGTACCTTATTTCAAGTTTAAAGAAAAATATATGGAAACCCTTTAGAATTTTAATATAATTACATTGCAGTTAGTAATTTATTGGAGGAAGATTCAAATTATAGGGATAAAAGGCATGGTACCTTCTCTCTTCCTCTTAAGACTCATAGCCTATACTTCTGTCACAAAAGACAGGTTAACAAAAGATTTATGTCATCAAAGTTTTATGTGACACAGAACCTTCGGAAATGAAGACTCAAAGACTCAGGGAAAACTGTCTAGGGTTTTATTCTAGTTTGAGGAGTGGTCAGCTGTGTGGAAATGGAGTTAGTGGAAAAGGGAGTAGCGTGACTGTGAGCATGAAAGCGAAACCCACCGGGCCTTTCTGTCAGGTCGCCCTGGCCTCTGTGTGGGACATTCCTTCCTCCCTGGAAGGGGTAGGCTGGTCCAGAACCAATGTCGTCAGATTTCCCACCACAGAATTGCCTAATCCCTGTTCTAACAGAAAGCAGCAAGGAGGGTAGGAATGATATTTGTCAAGTTTTACATCTGTCTTTGAGCAAGGGATCTAGTTTCTTACAGGGAATGGGAAAGGGTACGTTACCAGAGACCTCTGCAGTGGGTCCTGGTTTGCTATGGGACAATGCAACACAGAGCTAATTTAAAGACAGAAACAAGTCTTTGAGAGAAAGCTGGATCTTGGGGCTGATCAGTGCTGCTCTGGGCAACAAAGACAAAGGCCCCTAAGTACCTGGGTATTTATTGATTACAAGCGTGGGAAGACAGTGGGCATGTTGTGTTTTGAAGACATTTAATGAGAATAGGGCTAAACACCTGGCATGATGGAGCCAAGCAGGTCTGTGAGGAGGCAACTGGAAGTGGGCCCGGGTGCAATTAGCCAGTAACCCATCGGTTCAGTGAAGGGCCATAATTCAGGGGAAAGGATTTTTAATTGTATAATATATTTAGGTACCGGGGGATTTGAACTCAGGACCTTGTGCTTGTGAGGCAGGCGGTGGAACCACTCAGCTAAATCCCTGGCCCCCTGTACATGGTTCTTAAAGGCTCTAAATCCTCTGGATTCCCCCCAGGAGTGCAAATGTCTTATATCAAAGCTCTTTGCCACCACTAGATTTTGTGTGAAGGATGAGGTGACTCAGTGTCAGACCCCGCAATACTGGTTATGCCCAAAGCTAACTGGAGTTAGCCCCTCCCTGGCTCACTGTAAGAAGCAAGTCTGAAGCTCCACGAGGCACAGAAGCAGCTCATGAGCACTGCGAGAGCGTGCAGGTTGGCCGAGACCAGGGCACTGGCCTGCAAAGCTGTGGGGCTCGTATGACGTAACATCCTAGTTGAGCTCAGAAGAACTGCACTCAAACACTATCCCCACAATCAGTGCCTTAATAGCTGGAAGGACAGAGCTCTAATTACAACCATGTATTTTGTCAATCTTGCTTCTAATTTGAAAATGCTTTGACTTCTCTTTAAAGCCTTGCCTACATTACTATCCATGGCAGTTTTACATACTGCACATCTATACATGTATTGAACCTTTACTCTAATTAATAAATAATAAAATTCAGTAGGTGAGACAGTGCTGAGAGCCAGGGTGGAGCCCATGAAGTCCCTATGATGGGTGGAACTTCTGGGTGGTGAACACCAGATGTGAAGGGACCTGGGCAGCCAAGCGTTATGGGCCCCATCTGACTGCTCTTGATGTGAATCTTTTCTGGTAAATGTGCCATCAAAAGTGCAGCTCTTGGCCAGAAATTAGGGAGTCTCCCAGCAGTTACAGAACCTGAGGGGTACAGCGATCCCTGGATGTGGTGCAGTTACACAGAAGTATGTGTGGCCTGGACCTTGGGTCTGAAAGTGGAGGCACACAGGGAGGTTGCTGGAGGCCCCTCAGCCTCGTGAGCTCAGCTGGGCTCCAGGTGATTAGTGCCAAGCTGGAATCGCAGCTTAGCAGTGTCAGAGTCACCGCACAGCAATTCATGGACTCAGCTAAGAATTCAGAAGAGGCAGACTCAGTAAAGCACAAAGTACCAATAGCTCTAAATCACAGTCTAGACCATTACGGTGATTCACTGCCTACTGGTACATGGGCCTTCTGAGATGCCTACTGCAATGCGCATTGTTTCATACTTAATATTAAATATTTTATGCACATAGGGTAGTGAGAGGTCTTGGTAAACGCTGTCCCAAAATTTGCCCTTTTCACTTCAAATTGAGAGCACTTGGGGAATAGCAAATTCAGGGAAAGGCTTTCTGGGAATGTCTTTCATCTGACTGAAGATCCTCCAGCCCCTCCCAGGACTTCACCAAGTGGAGCTAAAGTGTGTCATCATAGAATTGGTCACCGCTACCCTGCTGGCTTGGCTGCAGGCATCTCTTGCTCCCTGTGGCCCAGGTCACTGTCCTCCTGGCCTGCCCATGGCCCTCCTTAACCATGAAGAAGATGCTTGGGAAGCTTATAGGTCCTGATGGAGTTTGGGGTGTTCGTTCCTCCTTTGAGGGATGCCTCTCTCCCAGAATTCTGCAGCTGATTTGACTATGTCAGTGTATTTCAGACTCACTCACACTCCTGAGTTTGAAGGGTGTTCTTCCCTTCCTCCCACTGATGCACTGTGAAATTCTTCTAACTC